AATTCTTTAGAATCATTGGATGTTGTAAGGTGTTTACAATATGTGGCATTTTATGAGTTATTATTATTTTGAATAAGTAAACTCGGGTGTATAGGCCCCAGCTTGTCAATGTAAACTCGTATGTATAGCTTGCCAACTATCTGGTGTTTAGATAACCTAAAGATAAACTGTAATAAATTATGCTGACGGAGTTAGGGCGGTACACTTTAAGTTGAATACAAAACTAAAATCACCAGTCTTTTGTTCTTGTGTAATTTGAAAGGTAAATATCTACTGTAGATAGTTTCATTGTAGTCTATTCTGTTTTATCAATAAGTAAAAATGTCCATTTTTAATATCGGATCACATATGGATGTTTACCAAACATAAACGTAGTTAGTCATTCAATACAGCTAAAAGTAAAAGACAGACAGCAACCTCGAAAAGTAGTTGATTTTGAATCTTAATAAGAAAATAATAGTCCAAAAGTGTTAAATGTTTTATTCAAGTATTAAACTGTTTCATATACATTTTGTTGTTTGTCACATTTTGACAAAAATGTTTATGGTCATGCAGTCAAAGTTATACACTCGATTTTTATCCAACATTTTCATCCATCATTTTTATCCATCATTTGTATCCAACATTTTCAATCAACAAAACCACGTCTATAAAACACTTACAACCCCTTTAGCATTTTTTGTATGGAATTTTAGCAGCTCCAGACTGGAGTAGAAATCCCACGACCAGCCGTCTTACAGACTGGAGTAGAAATCCCACGACCAGCCCTCCTACAAACTGGAGTAGAAATCCCACGACCAGCCCCCCCCCCTACAGACTGGAGTAGAAATCCCACGACCAGCCGTCTTACAGACTGGAATAGAAATCCCACGACCAGCCGTCTTACAGAATGGAGTAGAAATCCCACGACCAGCCCCCCCCCTACAGACTGGAGTAGAAATCCCACGACCAGCCCCCCCCCCCCCCCCTACAGACTGGAGTAGAAATCCCACGACCAGCCCTCCTACAAACTGGAGTTGAAATCCCACAACCAGCCCCCCCCCCTACAGACTGGAGTAGAAATCCCACGACCAGCCCACCCCCCCCCCTACAGAATGGAGTAGAAATCCCACGACCAGCCCACCTACAGAATGGAGTAGAAATCCCACGACCAGCCCTCCTACAGACTGTCGCAGAAAGCCCCTAAGCCCTCTCCCTTTTCTCTCTCTTGACTTGGAATAGTTAAGTTATCCACCCCAAACCCCATATTATCGACTATATACATTTCAATTCACAAATCTGAGATAAATTAAAAGACGACACTAACACACGAACTAACGAACCACAGGATATTTTGTATAAGTAAGATGTCATCCTTTATAAATCATACCTAATATAATTTATTAGCATTGTAGAACATTTTCAATAATAATTTCATTCGTTAAATTTGAAAGGTCTAAATTCCCAAGTCTGATTATGATTTTCAGCCGAACAAGGCATCAACATTGGGCTTTGTGCCACATCCTCCAGACACAAGACAGAGGTTAAATGAAAAATTGATTTGTCCTGAAAATTCAAAGAAAATATTTACCGGGGTATTAGCATTCAGCGATTATAAAGTGGTCTTTTGAGTGATAAGTGGTGCGATTCTATTTGTCTGCAAGTTTTATGAAAATATTTAGTAAAAAATTAACGTTCGTCGGTTACAAACCTGGACATAAATATATTATGAGTTATTGATTTTAGGGAACTGAAACTAAAACAATTGGACTGGTATGACCCAAATGAGACCAGTGTTTATTCCTGACTTTTTTCTCCGGAGGGGGGGGGGGCGGACAACATTTTCGGGGGGTGGGGGGTAGACACTGGTAAAAGTATGTTTTCTATATAAATTCCATTTCATTCTTGGGGGGGGGGGGCGGTAGACTATCTTGGGGGAGGTGGGGGTGGGGGGTTCCTGGAAGAAACTATAAATGAGATACGTGTATGGAATAAAATAATGATATACCCAATACTTCCATGTGTCCTGGATGCCCATGACGCAATCCTCCAGCACCGGTTGAGTGTCCCCCAAATAGACGACGACACACTGTAGAGTTGTTCTCAGACTTCCGCCCTTGGTTAGAGAGAAACCCTGTAGAGACAAATCAACTAGTACTTGAGAACATATACGACAAATCTGATCCAATCGATACATATTTATTAAACAAACAAGATATTCAAAAAATACATCGTTAAATTTTTTTATAGTTTAATGTAAAAAAAAATGGTAAAGCTTTTTTTACAATTACAAAATAATAATACCACTAATTTATAATTGATTTGCTTCTATCAAGTCTAATTTAAAACTGCCAATTTGTTCCAATAAATTTTATACAAGAATGAAATACTTAAATTTTTTAATCACAATCAAACAATTGATATAGCAAATAGATTTTATTTAACATTATACACATTGCTTTAACTTAAAAATCAAAATAAAGAATAAACGGTTGTGTATTCCAAGACATTGTCAAAAAGTTAAAAATCATACCTGTATTTGACAAATTAACAACCGTAAATATATTTGACAAATTGACTATGTTTAACAATCTGAAATGAGTTTAACAATCTCACAAGAGTTTTAACAATCTAATAAGAGTTTAACAATCTCACCTGAGTTTAACAATCTCACCTGAGTTTAACAATCTCACCTGAGTTTAACAATCTCACCTGAGTTTAACAAATCTCACAAGAGTTTAACAATCTCACAAGAGTTTAACAATCTCACAAGAGTTTAACAAACTCACCTGAGTTTAACCAACTCACCTGAGTTTGAAGATCCCCTGAACAGCTTTTAACCGTCAAAGGCTCCGCCCCCTGCATCAGGTACCCGTTGTTGTCCAGACACATGGACGTGCCTCTGTTCCTCACCTGCAGATACAAGTCATTTGGTTTGGTCAAGATACAAGTCATTTGGTTTGGTCTAAGATACAGGTCATTTGGTTTGATCTAAGATACAAGTCATTTTATAGCGTGACTTACTGTGTTTAAATATTTTTGAAAGAGATAATACATTTGCTTTGCTTAAACTGTATAATTGATAACAAAACTTGAACAAACATAACAAAAAATTCATGTATGTCTATTTTAATTTAACAACTTATCCAATTTAATTATTTTATTTTAACAGTTTGTCAGTCATTTACCACCACATCGCAGGTGATTCAAATTTTTTTTTAGATGGTTTAGTCATACCTGACCCCAATAAATAACGTTTTCATCGTAGACATTCAACTCTGGCCAAATGTTCTGAAGATACCAACTAAAATCTTTACATCCAAGTTTTGTTTTCAGTGCCAGTCTCTCACTCACGTCACCAACATCGAGATTCTAGAAGATAATAGAACACAGAATACAATTATTTATTAATTCTGCTAAAAACAGAATAAAGAGAAATAATCCATGATTTTAAATTAATTAAAAGATTACCTCCCTGAAATAATATATTTTAGACATTCAGTATCCAAACTAGAATATTTTTTTCTTTAAAATAAATTCAAAAGAGCTATTTATTTCGTACTTAGTTGCCCATCTTACCTTCATATCAGGATAGATGCTGTACAGAAACCTGGTGTAGAAGCCCATCTTACCTTCATATCAGGATAGATGCTGTACAGAAACCTGGTGTAGTTGCCCATCTTACCTTCATATCAGGATAGATGCTGTACAGAAACCTGGTGTAGTTGTCCATCTTACCTTCATATCAGGATAGATGCTGTACAGAAACCTGGTGTAGTTGCCCATCTTACCTTCATATCAGGATAGATGCTGTACAGAAACCTGGTGTAGTTGCCCATCTTACCTTCATATCAGGATAGATGCTGTACAGAAACCTGGTGTAGTTGCCCATCTTACCTTCATATCAGGATAGATGCTGTACAGAAACCTGGTGTAGTTGCCCATCTTACCTTCATATCAGGATAGATGTTGTACAGAAACCTGGTGTAGTTGCCCATCCAGACGAGGGCTGCCCTCTTGTAGTTGTAATGTTCTATTTGTGTTCTTCCACCTGGGAACGTGTACGGCTGTCCTCGGGGCACGTGACCTACTCTAGAACAGGGGACATGCAGGAGTCTCCCTCCACACATCCACACCTGGGGTGTATGCAGGGATTGTAATTAAGAATTCTTTATTCAATTGACGAAGTAATTCATTGTAAACACAGATCTATACATGGCTCTCACCACTTACCCTCCAAGACATCTCAATGTTTTCTCCTCCCCAGACTTTCATCTCGGTGTCGTATCCTCCAAGTTCGTTAAAGTAATTTCTGTCTATAGCATAAGCCGGACCTACCATAGTTACGCCACTGTTTAGAGATTACATTTATGTTAACGAGAACGTAAAACACACTATTTTTGTGTACACAGATATTATGGAGAAGTTCGATATCATGTTGGGAGATCTATACCTACAATCTACAGGGGAATATTGCTAGATTTGTGTTTGTAAACTTGCGCTGAGTAATAAATGTTAAGAGAGTCGGTTTAACTCAGTGGCGTAGCGAGGTCGGGTGTTACCCGGTGAGGCACTTAATGGTGTCGACCCCCCCCCCAGAGGCGTAGCGACCCTTCCCGGGGACATATTTTCGATTTGCACCCCTCACTCAAGTTTTCGATTTGCAGCCCCCCCCCCTCAAACTTTCGATTAGCACCCCCCCCCTCAAGTTTTTCTCTATATATTTTACTATGTTTTGCCTTGGTGTCACCCCCCTCAATGGTGTCACCCGGTGCGGTCCGCACCCCCCCCCGCCCCCCCCCCCCCCTCGCTACGCCTCTGGTTTAACTAGTGGACATGAATGATTGGATGGACAGACTCTTACTTCCTGACGGTCCTGTGGTCAGCTCCTATCTGGTCCGGCCTGAAGTAAGTCTCGAAGAAGACCATGGTCCAGGTCCAGCCGTACCTGGTCAGGTAGTTGTCATTGAACTTGTATCTAAAGCTTTTGGCGTTGATGTAGTCCAGCGTTGCCATGGCGACCACTTTTCCGTCCTTGGCTATTTCGTTCAACAGCGGAGGAAGCCTGGAACGAATCCATTTGAGGTTGTCATGAAGAGAAGGAAATTAAATTTGAATCAGCCTGAAGATGTGAGAACTGAAGTAAATAATCAACAAGGGAGAATAGTTTGGTTTGGTATTTAACTAATAAAGAATCTGCAATATCGACCAACCAATTAATGTTGACCTCCATATGGCTGTCAAAGAATATCAAAACGTCACCAGTGGCTATTTGACTGCCGCGCATGCGCGCTTGAGTCAGACCAACACGTTCATGGATGTGTACTATATGCACGAGACCTTCTGGAAAATTCTCCTTGATGTACTTGTCTAACCTGTCTTTCAGCTCTACTGGAAATATACAATGGTAACGTATATTTAAGAATTACTTTAAATATAAATCGACAAAATATAACTTTTAGCAAAGATTTCTCTTTAGACTTAGCGAAATCGAGTTCATGTCTCTTGACCTCGGCATTTGAAGGTATAATGTGGCCAGCACTATGCCCAACCGCCTTTACTTCCCCTAACGTGAGTTAGGTACCCATCAGAGCTAGGTGGACACAGGGACGTTCCAATGACTTGAACCCGAACTCGAAAGCAAGACTTTCAGGTAAGCAGTCCTACGCTCTATCGCTAGACCAAACCGTCCCACATATAACTTATACATACTCGAAATATAACAACTTCTTTACGTTAAAACACACACACAAAGTTTCATGCATATCGGGTGAACGGTGTCAAATTAAATTCGACTTTTTTAAAAAATATACCGTACATAGAGAAAAATCGCACCCTCCCGTGGCGCCGCCCTTGTGAAATTAAAAATGTCTTTTTACAGAACCATTTCCTAGAGTGTTATAATGAACTCCCTAAAGTTTCCTGCCTATCGGGTGAACGGTGTCAAATTAAAATCGACTTTTAAAAAATATACCGTATATAGAGAAAAAACAAATCGCGCCCTGCCGGGGCGTCACCCCTGTGAATTTGATTTTTTTTTTCGCAGAAACCTCCGCAGGAATATTTTTAACAACATCCCAAAGTTTCACGGCGATGTGATAAAAGGTGTAGTAATGCATAAAAGACACACAGACACACAGACATATAGACATACATTGCTTTATATATATATATATAGATAGATAGATATGTATACATATATATATATATATATATATATATATATATATATATATATATATATATATATATATATATATATATATATAATGAAAGGTGTTTGCAGACCGATGACAACTGATGTCCACCCAGCTCTGATGGGTACCTCATTCACGTTAGAGAAACAAAGGTGGCAGGGCGTACTTCTGACCACACTAACCCCTTGTATGCCAAGGTCATTCAATCAAATCTCCAGTCTCTAGTTCGTCTGCTCAACATGTCTCGGGCAAGAACGGAAAATTATGCTAATGATGAAATTCAAAATAGGTGTAACAGAATAATGTGTTGTAGACGTTGTATTTTGAAATAAATTTATTTATTGTTTATTTTTAGTTGTATTTTCATGAAAAAATTTAGTTTTGTAAATAAATTGTAATCGTTTGTTTAGTCTTATTGGAGCGTCGACCTATTATAATTTGTATTAACAATTTAAATTTTCACACAGCCTTCAAAATGCTTAAAGTACTTTAGACTTGGTTGTAATCATACACTTTAGAAATTGATAATTGCCTACTTAATCAACCACATATAGAAACAAATAAAGGGTAAATTTGTAAAGCGTTCAGTGTAAAAATTAGGTGGGATATACTTTTAACCGAAATAATTCTACTTTATAATCGGATTAAAGTTTTTGAACTGACATTCAGACAGCATTAATAACAAATCAATAAGGTGTGTTGGCCTACAGGCTGTAAACACAATCTAGGCAAATAAACAACATCATCCTTTCCAACAAGTTAGTGCACTACACACTATCATCCTTGAGAGCTATAAAACACAATAAACATTTGGCCCTCATCAAGATGTTTCAGGAAGTTTTTGGACCTCAGTCTTAAAGTTATTCTTGCTTATCATCCAGCTCAGTTATTCCATTTTGACATTTCGATAAAAATGTTAGAAAAAAGTAATCGCAAAAAAGATGTTAAGTCTTAATTAGAATGTGTACCAGTATAAGCTGTAAGTGTACCAGTATAAGCTGTAAGTGTACCAGTATAAGCTGTAAGTGTACCAGTATAAGCTGTAAGTGTACCAGTATAAGCTGTAAGTGTACCAGTAAAAGCTGTAAGTGTACCAGTATAAGCTGTAAGTGTACCAGTATAAGCTGTAAGTGTACCAGTATAAGCTGTAAGTGTACCAGTATAAGCTGTAAGTGTACCAGTATAAACTGTAGTGTACCAGTATAAGCTGTAAGTGTACCCACATAATGTGCTGGCGTCATCGACCAGAATGATTTCCCTGATGTTTTCTCTGGGTGATCTGTTGATGATGCTGTACACGGTACGGAGCAGAAGTGACGGCCATTCATCGTGAAACGGTACAATGACCGAGGCCTGGGCGAGCTTTGTTGTGTCGTACTGTAGAGAGTCACACCTGTAGACAGTCATGTGTACACAATATTTTATCACACCTGTAGGTAGTCATGTGTACACAATATTTTATCACACCTGTAGGCAGTCATGTGTACACAATATTTTATCACACCTGTAGGTAGTCATGTGTACACAATATTTTATCACACCTGTAGGCAGTAATGTGTACACAATATTTTATCACACCTGTAGGCAGTCATGTGTACACAATATTTTATCACACCTGTAGGCAGTCATGTGTACACAATATTTTATCACACCTGTAGGTAGTCATGTGTACACAATATTTTATCACACCTGTAGGCAGTAATGTGTACACAATATTTTATCACACCTGTAGGCAGTCATGTGTACACAATATTTTATCACACCTGTAGGCAGTCATGTGTACACAATATTTTATCACACATGTAGGCAGTCATGCGTACACAATATTTTATCACACCTGTAGACAGTCATGTGTACACAATATTTTATCACACCTGTAGGCCGTTATGTGTACACAATATTTTATCACACCTGTAGGCAGTTATGTGTACACAATATTTTATCACACCTGTAGGCAGTCATGTGTACACAATATTTTATCACACCTGTAGGCAGTCATGTGTACACAATATATTATCACACATGTAGGCAGTTATGTGTACACATTATTTTATTCAACCTGTAGGCAGTTATGTGTACATAATAATTTATCACACCTGTAGACAGTCATGTGTACACAATATTTTATCACACATGTAGGCAGTTATGTGTACATAATAATTTATCACACCTGTAGACAGTCATGTGTACACAATATTTTATCACACCTGTAGGCAGTTATGTGTACATAATAATTTATCACACCTGTAGACAGTCATGTGTACACAATATTTTATCACACATGTAGGCAGTTATGTGTACACATTATTTTATCACACCTGTAGGCAGTCATGTGTACACAATATTTTATCACACATGTAGGCAGTTATGTGTACACATTATTTTTTTCAACCTGTAGGCAGTTATGTGTACATAATAATTTATCACACCTGTAGACAGTCATGTGTACACAATATTTTATCACACATGTAGGCAGTTATGTGTACATAATAATTTATCACACCTGTAGACAGTCATGTGTACACATTATTTTATCACACCTGTAGGCAGTCATGTGTACACATTATTTTATCACACCTGTAGGCACCAACTTACCCCCATATCCTCGAGTCTGGTACCACTAACTTAACCAACTTACCCCGCTATCCTAGAGTCTGGTACCATCCTATTTAACGGTATCTCGTCACTTATCACCGTGTTGACGTGGAACTTGGACAGTGCCCTTTCAATTTTCTCAGTCTGAGATCTGCCCGAAGCTACGGGTTTCCCCATTTCTCCGGGCATCATTAGGTTGTTCTTGCCGTAATTATCAATCAGGTAGTTACCTGTTATCGCACCCGCCCTGTACTCGCTGAGCGTTATGTTCTTGAGCCAAAGTGAGGCGCTACGATATTTATACTTCAGTTCGAACTTGTGTTCAGTTTTAACTGAGGCGGGTATCACTGTACCGCGTCTAGATTCTGTAATTATCCTTTTCTCGATATCGTGATGAAGCTTTGATCTCGTGAGTGGGGAGTAGAACCAAATCATATAAAACACGCACGTTAATATACTAGTCACCAAAACAATGAATAGGATATATTTTAACTTGTTTACTTTACGAAAAAGCGTTGAATATCTCATCATGAATTTGCTGTTTGTTGAAGTTCGCACAAGTAAGTGAAGTTTACAAAATAAGTTTTTCCAACTGTTGCCCAATTGTTCTGAACTGTAGCCTACATAGGCGGGTCTGTATAATCAATACAATTTAACGTGTTACTTGGTATTAACTGCATCACAACCTAATCCTTGTTTAAAGACAGTCGCTGATGTTTATTGAATTTTATAAACACGTTTTTATACATGTCAGGCTGTTATTGGCTATGTGTGTTTTATGAATGTAACCCGCTCCTGGGGTGGGGGGGGGGGGGGGGGGAATGAATTATATCGTATATTAAAAATTGACTGTTTTTGGGTTTGATTTGAGGAGTTTTATATTGTAGAGTAAAATTGACTGATTTTGGGTTGACTTCAAGTTGTGTTATATTGTTTGTTGAAAATTTGCTCATTTGAAGTTGTGTTATATCGTATAGTGCAAATAGGCTAGTTTTGTTTTGACTAGAATGTTGTTGTTTCATACACTGAAAATTGACTGATTTTGGGCTAACAAGATTTTTGTTGTTCGTTTGTTGAAAAGTGTCAGATTTTTTTTGTTTGACTTAAAGTTGTGTTGTGATGTACAAGAGACTGTAACGATGTTCATCCTTGACTGGCGACACAGTAGCACCGTGTCTTAACACAGTAACACCGTGTCTTAACACAGTAACACCGTGTCTTAACACAGTAGCACCGTGTCTTAACACAGTAACACCGTGTCTTAACACAGTAGCACCGTGTCTTAACACAGTAACACCGTGTCTTAACACAGTAACACCGTGTCTTAACACAGTAACACCGTGTCTTAACACAGTAACACCGTCTCTTAACACAGTGATACGGTGTCTTAACACAGTAGCACCGTGTCTTCACACAGTAGCACCGTGTCTTAACACAGTAGCACCGTGTCTTAACACAGTAACAACGTGTCTTAACACAGTAGCACCGTGTCTTAACACAGTAACACCGTGTCTTAACACAGTAACACCGTCTCTTAACACAGTGATACGGTGTCTTAACACAGTAGCACCGTGTCTTCACACAGTAGCACCGTGTCTTAACACAGTAGCACCGTGTCTTCACACAGTAGCACCGTGTCTTAACACAGTAGCACCGTGTCTCAACACAGTAACACCGTGTCTTAACGCAGTAATATCGTGTCTTAACACAGTGATACCGTGTCTTACATTTTTCCTGTCAGGAGCGTTACCAGCGCAAACTTCTTCTTCTTCTTCGTTCTTAATTGAGAATATGGTGGAGGATTTAGACAACAAGTCCAACTTCGTGAACGAACCGGACTGTGGTCACCAGCGCAAACAACATCCACTCTAACGTAGGTCGTTGACGTTGATTTTCTTGCTTTAACTCCACTCCAGTGATGTCTTGTATCACTCCAGTGAGGTGGTGTAACACTCCAGTGATGTCGTGATGTCGTGTAACACTCCAGTGATGTCGTGTAACACTCCAGTGATGTCGTGTAACACTCTAGTGATGTCGTGTAACACTCCAGTGATGTCGTGTAACACTCCAGTCATGTCGTGTAACACTCCAGTCATGTCGTGTAACACTCCAGTCATGTCGTGTAACACTCCAGTCATGTCGTGTAACACTCCAGTGATGTCGTGTAACACTCTAGTGATGTCGTGTAACACTCCAGTGATGTCGTGTAACACTCCAGTGATGTCGTGTAACACTCCAGTGATGTCGTGATGTCGTGTAACACTACAGTGATGTCGTGTAACACTCCAGTGATGTCGTGTAACACTCTAGTGATGTCGTGTAACACTCCAGTGATGTCGTGTAACACTCTAGTGATGTCGTGTAACACTCCAGTGATGTCGTGATGTCGTGTAACACTACAGTGATGTCGTGTAACACTCCAGTGATGTCGTCTAACACTCCAGTGATGTCGTGTAACACTCTAGTGATGTCGTGGAATACTCTAGTCATGTCGTGTAACACTCCAGTGATGTCGTGATGTCGTGTAACACTCTAGTGATGTCGTATAACCGTTTAGCCTAACCAACATCAAGTGTTCAGCTTGATTCCTCTATGCCACCTCTCGCCCAAAAACTGCTCTCATTGTGTTATTTTGCACGTGCTTTGTGTACACATTCAAGGGTTGATGCTCAGTGCTCACTCAGGTCGTGGTGGAGTTCAATTTTGAACAAACTCCCCTTCCTACAACCTTGTATGATGTAATGTTGATCCCCACACCCACTCTGACATGATACGTCAGTGTTGTAATGTCCTGGTTAGCCCTAACCGCCATGAACAAATCACCATTCGGTAAATGCTTTGAAGACCCCTGACTCCAAATAAATGATAAATGAATGTATATGTTAATGCTGTGATTATCCCTACCCACACTGCTATGAAATTATCTGCGGTTTGTGAAGCGCATTGCCCCCTTCCCCCCCTCCCATAACAGTACCATCATGAAATAATCCACCTTTGCTGTAACACCTTGATCAATCCCCCCCCCTTTCCCCCGCCCTGTTAGTTATTTACCGTAATTAAATGTATCTTTACGTTGTCTGGTTGTGTTATTTCTATTGTTATCTTTTAAACCATCGTTTGGATTCTTTAGATATGAATTGAAACTAACAATTCAATAGAGAGAACAATTGTTTTTTTTTGTAGTATCGAAGCTTATATTTTGGCTGGAAACTTACAAATAAAATTAAAATGACGACATTGTCTTTTAGTATGATCATCAATGCACGTGATTTGAAAGACAATGAACTTCAAAAACAGTCAAAGCAAAACAAAATAACACTTTTATACAAGCTCACACACACACACACACACACACACATATATATATATATATATATATATATATATATATATATATATATATATATATATATATATATATATATATATATATATATATATATATATATATATATATATATATATATATATATATACTAATACAAATTAGTTTTTTTTTAATGAAGCAAATATTTAATTAGAAATATATGTCGTTGTGGGAGGCTTGCCTGCATGATAAATCCAAATCAATGTAGTCTTAACATAACAAGACAAACTAATACACATACACTAATCTGCAAATTTAATTAAGTAGAATAATATAAAAAATACCGCCGACAAAATTATATACAAATTTAGAAAAAAAATATAACCAATCATATGTGTAACTAATTTGTTCAACGTATCTACTTTAGCAACACGTACAATGTTATTGAAGCGAATATGGAAGAAAATCCCATCTCTGGTGGAGGTTAGATTGTGAACAACGCCTCAACACGGGTCGGTTTGAGAAAACTTCAAGACACAAACCAGATCGGGCGTGTATCAGTTGCTTGTCCTGAAAACATTAATTAAAAATATGTAATTAAACTAGGTCTAAGAATAAATAATTATATAATTATAATAATAAAAAAATGGAAAAATACAATAGTACGTGTGTGTACGTGTGTGTGGGTGTTTGGATGGGGATGGTGTTATATTAGACATTGCATACAGCAGATAAGACCGTTGTTTATTAAAGTCGACATTTTTAGAAATTATAACAAGCTAATGACCCTACGCCCGCATTGACCACCATCAATAAACGAGCACCCAAACAGTGTTGTCTACCATTATGTATGAAGGTATATATGATATGTGGACATGTTTACCTTGTATGTCCACAAGTCGCGTGACCCTATGATGCAATCTTCCAGCAAAACTGGCGCGTCGTCCTTGGCGTGGTGGCAGACGACACATTGGAGCGTTGTTTTTAGACGGCCGTCTGCTGAGAGGGAGAATACCTGGCGGGAAGATTTGTTGGATATTTAGAGATTTGTTGGATAACTATAGACTCCAACAAAAGTTGTTGGATATTTAGAGAAGATTTGTTGTATAACTAGAGACTAACAAGAGAAGATTTGTTGGATAACTAGAGACTCCAACAAGAGAAGATTTGTGGGATATTTAGAGACTAACAAGAGAAGATTTGTGGGATATTTAGAGACTAACAAGAGAAGATTTGTTGGATATTTAGAGACTAACAAGAGAAGATTTGTTGGATAACTATAGACTCCAACAAAAGTTGTTGGATATTTAGAGAAGATTTGTTGTATAACTAGAGACTAACAAGAGAAGATTTGTTGGATAACTAGAGACTCCAACAAGAGAAGATTTGTTGTATAACTAGAGACTAACAAGAGAAGATTTGTTGGATAACTAGAGACTCCAACAAGAGAAGATTTGTTGTATAACTAGAGACTAACAAGAGAAGATTTGTTGGATAACTATAGACTCCAACAAAAGTTGTTGGATATTTAGAGAAGATTTGTTGTATAACTAGAGACTAACAAGAGAAGATTTGTTGGATAACTAGAGACTCCAACAAGAGAAGATTTGTTGTATAACTAGAGACTAACAAGAGAAGATTTGTTGGATAACTATAGACTCCAACAAAAGTTGTTGGATATTTAGAGAAGATTTGTTGTATAACTAGAGACTAACAAGAGAAGATTTGTTGGATAACTAGAGACTCTTACAAGAGAAGATTTGTGGGATAACTAGAGACTCTTACAAGAGAAGATTTGTGGGATAACTAGAGACTCCAACAAAAGTTGTTGGATATGTAGAGACTCCAACAAGAGAAGATTTGTTGGATAACTAGAGACTCCAACAAGAGAAGATTTGTTGGATAACTAGAGACTCCAATAAGAGAAGATTTGTTGGATATTTAGAGACTCCAACAAGAGAAGATTTGTTGGATATTTAGAGACTAACAAGAGAAGATTTGTTGGATATTTAGAGACTCCAACAAGAGAAGATTTGTTGGATATTTAGAGACTAACAAGAGAAGATTTGTTGGATATTTAGAGACTCCTACAAGAGAAGATTTGTTGGATATTTAGAGACTCCAACAACAGAAGATTTGTTGGATATTTAGAGACTCCAACAAGAGAAGATTTGTTGGATATTTAGAGACTCCTACAAGAGAAGATTTGTTGGATATTTAGAGACTCCAACAAGAGAAGATTTGTTGGATATTTAGAGACTAACAAGAGAAGATTTGTGGGATATTTAGAGACTAACAAGAGAAGATTTGTGGGATATTTAGAGACTAACAAGAGAAGATTTGTGGGATATTTAGAGACTCCAACAAGAGAAGATTTGTTGGATAACTAGAGACTCTTACAAGAGAAGATTTGTGGGATAACTAGAGACTCCAACAAAAGTTGTTGGATATGTAGAGACTCCAACAAGAGAAGATTTGTTGGATAACTAGAGACTCCAACAAGAGAAGATTTGTTGGATAACTAGAGACTCCAATAAGAGAAGATTTGTTGGATATTTAGAGACTCCAAAAAGAGAAGATTTGTTGGATATTTAGAGACTAACAAGAGAAGATTTGTTGGATATTTAGAGACTCCAACAAGAGAAGATTTGTTGGATATTTAGAGACTCCTACAAGAGAAGATTTGTTGGATATTTAGAGACTCCAACAAGAGAAGATTTGTTGGATATTTAGAGACTCCAACAAGAGAAGATTTGTTGGATAACTAGAGATTCCAACAAGAGAAGATTTGTTGGATAATAAGATCTCCATTTTAACAAACAAAAACTGTTTTAGAACATTTTAACGTATGCTTAGTCTGGCGCGATTTTTTAAAGACTTTTAAGGTAAAGACAACTGTGCTAGAAACTCGAGATTATCAAATTATTAATCTAATTGGATAATGCATTAGTCTGATCGGGTTTTAATGTATCAATTTTAACTTTCTTATGTAAATAAACAGTACACTCAACATGAATCAGCATTTAAGAGTATAGGTAAAAGAAGAAATCTATTATTAAAAACACTCCACTTTTAACACCATACAATTATGAATTTTATTTTTGTTGAATACGTTCATAATTGTCAACCTTTTCTCTAGATGATGGACCGTTTACTTTTGTAGTTAGAAGTATCAAATCTCCATGTAACAGATGTTTCAATGCTGTAGCTAATACATTCATCAATACATGACGCGGAAAAGGTATTTAATAAATGATGTCACGGTGGTTAAGCTGTTCTATAAACTCCCCTCCTCTAAAGTTACATACACATCCATGCGTCACTCAACTAATTTTAAAAAACGAATCCAACTTTATGGAATAACCGAAGTTCAAATACAATTTTCATGGTTTTACATTAAACTTTTTAAAAATGCAAAGAAAAATACGTAACTAAACATGGCTTAGCTCCCGTTGGTATCTCTACACGTACGACTTCTTCACAAAAATCAGACACTTCTGACCCCAGATGGGTGAAGTCACCTAAAGATATCACCTTTAATGTAACATACCTGTTGATGAAGAATTTGCGCACAAGGCTGTAGATATAAAGGCGCTGGAGCTTGGAACAAATATCCGTTGTTATCAAGACACAAGCCAGTCCCCTCATTTCGTACCTGTGAGATTCAGTGAATAACTTTACAGACAGAAACAAAATGTATTCTTTTATAATAACAACTTCCAACTACTTTTAAGGATGAAAGTAGTCTTGAGAAATTTGGAATTTAGAAAGACAAATTATTTTAATTTACAAATACCTGTCCCCATAGTGTAGCGTTTACATCGTAGACATTCAACTCTGGCCAAATGTTCTGAAGATACCAACTAAAATCTTTACATCCAAGTTTTGTTTTCAGGGCCAGTCTCTCGCTTAAGTCTCCAACGTCTAATGTCTGCAACAAAATAATACAGGAAACAACTAAGGGATCAAAATAAAAACAGTAGCATCGTTTCTTACATGGGTAGCGAGGAATTTAGCAGGTTTATTAATAAATACATAAATGGGAAGTTATCGAATTGATTCATGTATAAAAACATGCTAAATTCCCTTTGAATAACAGAGAGCAAATACCTTAATTCGTTTCGGGATAAATGCTATACAGAAACCTGGTGTAGTTGCCCATCTTACCTTCATATCAGGATAGATGCTGTACAGAAACCTGGTGTAGTTGCCCATCTTACCTTCATATCAGGATAGATGCTGTACAGAAACCTGGTGTAGTTGCCCATCTTACCTTCATATCAGGATAGATGCTGTACAGAAACCTGGTGTAGTTGCCCATCTTACCTTCATATCAGGATAGATGCTGTACAGAAACCTGGTGTAGTTGCCCATCTTACCTACATATCAGGATAGATGCTGTACAGAAACCTGGTGTAGTTGCCCATCTTACCTACATATCAGGATAGATGCTGTACAGAAACCTGGTGTAGTTGCCCATCTTACCTACATATCAGGATAGATGCTGTACAGAAACCTGGTGTAGTTGCCCATCTTACCTACATATCAGGATAGATGCTGTACAGAAACCTGGTGTAGTTGCCCATCTTATCTTCATATCAGGATAGATGCTGTACAGAAACCTGGTGTAGTTGCCCATCTTACCTTCATATCAGGATAGATGCTGTACAGAAACCTGGTGTAGTTGCCCATCTTACCTTCATATCAGGATAGATGCTGTACAGAAACCTGGTGTAGTTGCCCATCTTACCTTCATATCAGGATAGATTCTGTACAGAAACCTGGTGTAGTTGCCCATCTTACCTTCATATCAGGATAGATGCTGTACAGAAACCTGGTGTAGTTGCCCATCTTACCTTCATGTCAGAATAGATGCTGTACAGAATCCTGGTTAGTTGCCCATCTTACTTCATATCAGGATATATGTTGTACAGAAACCTGGTGTAGTTGCCCATCTTACCTTCATATCAGGATAGATGCTGTACAGAAACCTGGTGTAGTTGCCCATCTTACCTTCATATCAGGATAGATACTGTACAGAAACCTGGTGTAGTTGCCCATCTTACCTTCATATCAGGATAGATGCTGTACAGAAACCTGGTGTAGTTGCCCATCTTACCTTCATATCAGGATAGATGCTGTACAGAAACCTGGTGTAGTTGCCCATCTTACCTTCATATCAGGATAGATGCTGTACAGAAACCTGGTGTAGTTGCCCATCTTACCTTCATATCAGGATAGATGCTGTACAGAAACCTGGTGTAGTTGCCCATCTTACCTTCATGTCAGAATAGATGCTGTACAGAAACCTGGTTAGTTGCCCATCTTACCTTCATATTAGGATAGATGCTGTACAGAAACCTGGTGTAGTTGCCCATCTTACCTTCATATCAGGATAGATGCTGTACAGAAACCTGGTGTAGTTGCCCATCTTACCTTCATATCAGGATAGATACTGTACAGAAACCTGGTGTAGTTGCCCATCTTACCTTCATATCAGGATAGATGCTGTACAGAAACCTGGTGTAGTTGCCCATCTTACCTTCATATCAGGATAGATGCTGTACAGAAACCTGGTGTAGTTGCCCATCCAGACGAGGGCTGCCCTCTTGTAGTTGTAATGTTCTATTTGTGTTCTTCCACCTGGGAACGTGTACGGCTGTCCTCGTGCCACGTGACCTACTCTAGAACAGGGGACATGCAGGAGTCTCCCTCCACACATCCACACCTGAATTATAGATTGGAAATTTAAAATTAAGTGTACACATCTGATCGACGAATTCCATAAATTTAGTCTTATTGATTACCCTTTCTAGTTTTTTCTTTTCCAAAATCTTCTTATATCCATTTCCATTAAAATCTTTCTAGTCAACGATATACGCAGAACATTTGTGTTTGTAGCTATAAATAGAATAGGCTACTCACCCTCCATGACATCTCAATGTTTTCTCCACCCCAGACCTTCATCTCAGAGTCGTATCCTCCAAGTTCGTTAAAGTAATCTCTGTCTATAGCATAGGCTGGACCCACCATGGTTACACCTCTGCGAGAGAATTACGTAACGATTAAAAGAACAAAAGCCGCCTATGTTATTACTGCAAACAAATAATTTAGCCTAAACGTTTTGTAATTTATATCAAGTAGTTGATCTTTATATATATATAGGCTATATATATATATATATATATATATATATATATATATATATATATATATATATATATATATACATATTCGATTATTCTCAGCACTAATTTGTGTAATATCAAAGTGTAGACACGCCACCCTACAACAAATCACGTACACCCTGGTTGCCCGGGGGTCAGCTCCTATCTGGTCCTGCCTGAAGAAAGTCTCGAAGAAGACCATGGTCCAGGTCCAGGCGTATCTGGTCAGGTAGTTGACATTGAACTCGTACTGAAATGTTTCTGCCTTGATGTAGTCCAGCGTTGCCATGGCTACTACCTTTTTATCCCTGGCTACTTCCGTCAACAAAGGCGGGAGCCTGATTTAATGTCAAATTAGAGCAATTAAATTAATTTATCTAATTATACTCTTATGGTTAACATTTTTCAATAATCCTTAGCAATCGTATTTATAGCAGAGACATGGAGAGTCTCCAAGGCAAGCACAGCAAAGATACAGACCTTCATCAATAGATGCCTTAGACAGATATTGAAACTGAGATGGCAGGACAAAGTGCCGAACATAGAACTATGGAGGAAAGCTAGGCTGGAGCCTATGGGTGTGCAAATAAGAAGGAGGAAGTGGCGCTGGGTGGGTCACACACTGCGAAATGCTCACCCAAATGTTACACGCCAAGCGCTTGAGTGGAACCCCCAGGGAAAGCGAAAGAGAGGGCGCCCAAGACAGACCTGGAGGCGGAGTCTTCTTGAAGAACTGAAGCCAACAGGGATGTCTTGGGAGATGACAAAATTAATAGCCGGGGATCGGATGAAATGGAAGGAAATGGTGGAGGCCCTATGTTCCATAAAGAGCAAAGAGGACTAAGTCATGTCAAGTTATACTTATGTATTTAACTTAAATGTCGTGTATTACAGTCATTTTCTTACCAATTAATGTTGACTTCCATGTGGCTGTCAAAGAATATCAAAACGTCACCAGCAGCTATTTGACTGCCGCGCATGCGCGCTTGAGTCAGGCCAACACGTTCATTGATGCGTACAATATGCACGAGACCTTCTGGAAAATTCTCCTTGATGTACTTGTCCAAGTTGTCTTGAAGTTCTACTGGAATCCAAAAGGCTTTATGACCAGTTTTTTCCCAGACATTTTCTCCTGCGGATGGCTTGAAACTTTCGTTGTAAGGGTGGGGGTGGGGGTGGGGGGGGGTCTTAAATTTCCTGGGGGGGGGGGGGGGAATCTGGTATATTTTTTTTATGTAAATTATTTGTTCGGAGGAATGGGGGAAGGGATTGTATACGCGCTCCCTCCTTTAAAAGAAGATGCCTGTCTATGATTTTACTAAGGAATTAGTAGCTTTCATTGGACTGTACAAAACAAAGGCGTGTTAGGTTGTTGGTCGTATTATGATATCAAGTTCAGTATAAGGTAAGAAACTGGATTAGGGTTATGTTATGATTTGAGTTTATGTTTGTCTTGGCATTAAGCTGACATAGACATTTGTATGATCTGGTTGATTATTGTTTACTGTTACTAAACTATAATACACGTTTAAAAGAATAATCGTGACCTTACGACGCATTGGTATAAAACAAACACCTATATCGTTTTTGTTATGTAAATCTGATCTTTTGTACCAGTATAAGCTGTAAGTGTACCAGTATAAACTGTAAGTGTACCAGTATAAGCTGTAAGTGTACCAGTATAAGCTGTAAGTGTACCAGTATAAGCTGTAAGTATACCAGTATAAGCTGTAAGTGTACCAGCATAAGCTGTAA